GGAGGGGGAGGTCTGTCTGTCAGTGGGGGGTTAGTTCAAGCCGGGGAGGAGGGGTCTGTCTGTCAGTGGGGGGTTAGTTCAAGCCGGGGAGGGGGGTCTGTCCGTCAGTGGGGGGTTAGTTCGGGCCGATGAGGGGGTCTGTCTCTCAGTGGGGCTCTTTGGTAGGCAGGTATCAGGCAAGGCTGTCAGTAGGGGGTGCAGGGCCTTGCCTACGCCACGCTGGATAGGGGAGCTGGCTCTGCCCCCGAAGCACCTGTCTGGGCAGCTCCCCTACCAGCTGCCGTACGGCCCCCGCCAGCTCGGCCAGGCTGCCAGCAATGGTGCCCAGCTGGCGGCGCTCCTGCCGCTGGATATGGACGAGGGCGCGCAGGTCCCCCCGCAGCTCCCGCACCACCTGGATCAGCTCCTGCATCTGAGGGGATTCGTGGCCTGGTTCCTGGCAATCCCCCTCCCCCTTGACTGCTCCCAGCCCTGCAGCCGGTATGGGGGCTCTTGTCTCCCACCCCATAGTCACTGCCCTCTGGGCAAGGGGCGGAGCAGGGAGGGTGCTGGCCCGAGGGGTGGTGGTGTGGGGAGCAGTGGCCGGGGATGGGAGGGCCCAGGTTGAGGGCATGGTTGGGGGGAAGGCAGTGGCTGGGAGGGTGCGGGTGGCAGGCTGTGGCGTCTCCAGGACGGATCCCTGAGGCTGGCCTGGCATGGGGGCAGCATCTGTGGGATGGGACACAAGGAAGCCACCTGTAAAGCTCCATGCTAGAGAGACACCCTCCCCACCGCACGCACGCCACCACGGGGCCTGGCCACCAGCCACTCACCCACTGACAACAGCCTTGTCTGCTACTGCACACACCAAGGCAGCTCTGGGAGGGGAGTGGGATTTAGTGGTTAGAGCCAGGGGAGGGGGAGCTGGGAACCAGGACTCCTGGGTTCTATCCCAGCTCTGCGACGGGAGTGGGGTCTAGTGGGTTAGAGCAGAAGGGCTGGGAGCCAGGACTCCTGGGTTCTATCCCAACTCTGGGAAGGAGCATGAGGTACAGTGGGTTAGGTTGGGAGGGGGCATGCTGGCCGGGACTCCTGGGTTTTCTCCCCAGCTTAGGCACTGACTCACTCATGAGTCCATGTCTCAGTTTATCCACCTACAAAAGTGGATAACGGTATTTTCCCCTGTGTAAAGGCCTGGGGATCCCAGAAGTGGGACAATATTGGGTGGGTGTCACTGCGGAGAAGGATGGATTATTGGACGGCCAGGTCTGGCCCGCCCAGTCTAGGGAGGATGATATCGCCCCAGAAGGGACTGGTAGAATCCCCGTGACACACCTATATGGTGGCATTTCCAGTCAGCCTTGGTGTGTAGACACTGTCCACACATCCTCTGGCCCAGGCCTTTGGAGCCCCTTTCCTGGGACCAGTGCCCCCGCACCCCTACCTGTCTGTGCAGCCGGGGTGCCTGGGAGACAGGGCGCTGCAGGTGTCTTGGCACAACCTGTCCCATTAACTGCTGGGCTGGCGTACTGTGTCCGAGTACCAGGAGGCTCGCCCTGGGGCTGGGAGGGAGAGGCTGGACCCATCTGGGCGCTGTGGGTCTCATCCTGAGGCTGGGTGGTTGTGGGGTGGGAGGGAGCTGGGCCCACCTGGATGCTGTGGGTCTCGTCCTGAGGCTGGGTGGTCGTGGAGTCGGAGGGAGTTGAGTCCATCCAGGCGCTGTGGGTCTCATCCTGAGGCTGGGTGGTTGTGGGGTCGGAGGGAGCTGGGCCCATCTGAGCGCTGTGGGTCTCGTCCAGAGGCTGGGTGGTTGTGGGGTGGGAGAGAGCTGGGCCCATCCGGGCGCTGTGGGTCTTGTCCTGAGGCTGGGTGGTTGTGGGGTGGGAGGGAGCTGGGCCCATTTGGGTGCTGTGGGTCTCATCCTGAGGCTGGGTGGTTGTGGGGTGGGAGGGAGCTGGGCCCACCTGGATGCTGTGGGTCTCGTCCTGAGGCTGGGTGATTGTGGGGTCGGAGGGAGCTGAGCCCATCCAGGCGCTGTGGGTCTCATCCTGAGGCTGGGTGGTTGTGGGGTCGGAGGGAGCTGGGCCCATCTGGGCGCTGTGGGTCTCATCCAGAGGCTGGGTGGTTGTGGGGTGGGAGGGAGCTGGGCCCATCCGGGCGCTGTGGGTCTCGTCCTGAGGCTGGGTGGTTGTGGGGTGGGAGGGAGCTGGGCCCATCTGGGCGCTGTGGGTCTCGTCCTGAGGCTGGGTGGTTGTGGGGTGGGAGGGAGCTGGGCCCATCTGGGCGCTATGGGTCTCATCCTGAGGCTGGGTGGTTGTGGGGTCGGAGGGAACTGGGCCCATCTGGGCGCTGTGGATCTCATCCTGAGGCTGGGTGGTTGTGGGGTGGGAGGGAGCTGGGCCCATCTGGGCGCTGTGGGTCTCATCCTGAGGCTGGATGGTTGTGGGGTGGGAGGGAGCTGGGCCCATCTGGGCACTGTGGGTCTCATCCTGAGGCTGGGTGGTTGTGGGGTGGGAGGGAGCTGGGTCCATCTGGGCGCTATGGGTCTCATCCTGAGGCTGGATGGTTGTGGGGTGGGAGGGAGCTGGGCCCATCCGGATGTTATGGGTCTCGTCCTGAAGCTGGGTGGTTGTGGGGTGGGAGGGAGCTGGGCCCATCTGGGCACTGTGGGTCTCGTCCTGAGGCTGGGTGGTTGTGGGGTCGGAGGGAGCTGGGCCCATCCGGGCGCTGTGGGTCTGACTAGGAAGCTGGGTAGTTGTGTAGGAGGGAGAGGTGGGGGCGAGGCCTGGCCAGGTGCTATGGGCCATGTTCAGAGACTGGGTGGTTGCTGGGATCGGGGAGCTTGGGTCTGTTTGGGCTCTGTGGGCCATTGTGAGGATGCGGGAGTTATTAGGGGAGACAAGGCCCATCTGGGTGCTGTGGGGCTGGCTGGAAAGGGGGGTGGTTGCGGGGATGTGGGAGGCTAGGCTGGTCCAGGTGCTGTGGGGCTGGCTGGGAGGGTGCGTGGTTGTGAGGATGGGGGTAGGGGAGGCCAGGTAAATCTGGGCACTGTGGGGCTGGCCAGGAGGGGTTGTGGTTGTGGAGGTAGAGGTAGGGGAGGCTGGGCTGGTCCAGGCGCTGTGGGGCTGGCTGGGAGGAGGGGTGGGGGTTGGAGAGGCTGGGCTGGTCCAGATGCTGTGGGGCTGGCCGGGAGGGGTGGTGGGGGTGGGGTGGGAGTAGGGGTGGCTGGGCTGGTCCAGGCGCTGTGGGGCTGGCTGGGAGGGGAGGTGGTTGTGGGGGTGGGGGTAGGGGTGGCTGGGCTGGTCCAGGCGCTGTGGGGCTGGCTGGGAGGGTGGGTTGCAGAGGCCACAGTCGTCAGGGTGCTGTCCCCAGGCCAGAGTGGGGGACGAGGCACGTGGGGGTCAGTCCGGGCCCCAGCGCGGGCCCTGAGGGTGGGGGTGGCAGCAGGAGCTCGGTGCCGGACGGCGTCTATGTAAGGAAGGGAACAGACACATGGACGCAGGTTTCCAGAGCGCTCTGGGGACAGCTGGGTCTTTGCAGCCCTGCCCCGCCCCAGTGCCCAATGGGCTCTGCCCCACGACACCTCCCAGCCCGGCCCACTGTGTCCCGCACCGCCCAGCACGGGCAGAATACACTGACCCTCCCCAGCATTATGCCAAGATGCCAGGGTTCAAACCCTGCCCCACTGACTGTAACAATCAACAGACCCCCTTCAACACCTCCCCTGATGACCACTGTCCTGCACCACGGCCCAACTGGCGCCACCCTGGGCATTGGGGCCAGCACGGAGAGCGCCCCCTATGAAGCCCCCCACTCCCGGCAGCACAGAACCCCTAGCGCTGCCCTGGGCATTGGGGCCAGCACGGACTGCTGGGGAGAGCGCCCCCTACGGAGCCCCCTGCTCCCGGCAGCACAGAACCCCTAGCGCTGCCCTGGGCATTGGGGCCAGCCCAGACACCCTCTCCCATAGACCCCGAGGGTAGGCCCTGGCTACAGCACGCCGCGAAGTGACACTGGTACCTGTGTGTGTCCCCAATGGTTTGGGGCGGGGCCGCCGGTTCTTTGGGACGGGGCGCTGCGTCCCCAGGGCTCCATGCCGTTCAGGACGAGGCCCATCCCTGGGGCCGCTCACCCGCATGGCAGCATCTGTCACAGCCTGGGCTGTGGGGACAAAGCCGCAGAGCTGGAAGGTGGGTAATGCTCCCCATGCAGAACCCCCCACCCTGATCCCCCTGCCACCTGCACCAGGGGCTGGGTCCAGATGGTGGGTTCCCCCAGGGACGTGCATAGACACCAGGCCGGCACCGGCACAGCGAGCCACTCTTTAAGCCCTGCCAGCTCCACAGCGTGGGGGACAGAGAACAGGGCCCTGCTGCTCCAGCCAATGGAGAGTCCCCTCCTCTGCCTACAGTGCAGAGCCTCTGACACAGAGCTGAGGTGCCAATTCCCTCCTGCTCCCCACACCGTACAGCCCAGCCCCA